CAGCAACAACTTGAGTTCGGGAAGGGGGAAAAACAAGAAGGGGAAACCAGGAACGAAAACAAACTGTGCATAAGAAGTTCCCCAACGAATACTTTTTGACGCGCCCGGGCCGCAATGCAGTTTATGTCATTTCCACTTCCTAACCGAAAATGAACTTGGTGGCGGAGTTTAGGCAATGAAGCCGAGAGGTCATGTCAAGTGTTGCCAATTTGGGGTCTTCCCTGCCAACAAAAACGTCTAACCAAGTTATATACGTATTTTTTGAATATTTAAATATAAAACAAAGGTCAAGCTCTTAGACAAATTTAATAAAATATTCAGAATAAAGGTCAACGAACACCGATTTGCATTTGGTTCGAATGTCAACATGAAATAATTTGGTATGTTGATAAAGGTTTTTCCATTCGAATTAAGATTTATAGTTAAGCTTATAGTACTCAAACAATCAAATTAATTTGAAAAGCTAAGAAAGAGTTTTACTTTTAAGTTTGTTGCATTAAATCCTCATCATATAGCATAAATACAAGTTTAGTAATGCCATTTAGTTTTTGTTAATTTTATATTTGCAAATGATTTGGATTTATATTGAAATTAATACAAATTCCAAATGTAAACGGTTAATTGACATTAAAGCTAGAAATCATTTTATAATGTCGCCCTTTATTGCCTCACTATAAATCGACCTTCCTACAATCGCTCACTTCAGTGAGTCATTGAATTGTTGTGGACCCTTTCCCCCAAACAACCGAAGAGCTTTGGGTATGATTGGCAAATGCAGGCGCTAACCAGTGAAAAGATTTGCATATTCCCATTTTGAGTCCAGACCATTACCGGATCCCTGGCCCTCGGTGCCCCGCTGTCCCCTTAGCTCGCAGATGAGGCTACGGAAATTTTAGAGCTCCACGTAGCAGGGCCTAAATTATGTCCTGTTCCGACGAAGTCGCTGTTGCCGGTTGGCTGTTGGCTGGTTGAGTTTGGTCATTGTGAGTCTGTGGCCACATTGCGTATACGCCCGCTAGTCCCTCGTTAATTGCAATGTTTGTCATTTACCTGTCAATTTGCATTTAAATTACAAAATTTAAACGCTCTTTTTTGTTGCCATTCCGGGAACTTTACGACTGCCAAGATATAGATGGCGACCAGGAAAGAGGGATTGGATGGGCTGGCAAAAAAGAGGTGGCAACGAGGCATTTGTCATGATGGCCCATGGAGAGTCACTTAGAGACGTATGCTCCGCACCAGGACCGCGCTTAACCCAATCTTTTGTTTATGTGGATTCTCAATGAGGCACGGCCATGGCTGCGTAGCGTTTTCGGGCTAATTTTGTTGCAAATTGCTGGGCTGTAAAAAATGCGGGGCCCGTTAGCTCTGAGCTGTGAGTGTTAGCTGTGAGCTGTGAGCCCAGCGAAATTGCCGTGAAGCGCTGACCTCGAACTTTGCTCTCTGACGCGCGGGATGTTTGCCGTTTAATTAAAGCGACACCCAGCCAGGCAGTCAGCCAGTGAGGCAGTCAGGCAGCCAGGCAGCCAGGATTCATCCCCGTTCGTCGTCCTTAGTCCTGTGCGTGTTGACCTTATTATGTTGACTTTGTGTGCAGTGCATAAACTGTGATAAAAATCGCATATTCCACGCGGCATTGCCCCCTATTCTGCCCCCACCAACGCCCCCCATTCGCTAGATGAACGTGGGAGAAGCCAGCGCGTTTTTAAATGTCTATAATTTATGTTGGCCGTTAAACTCGCTGCCTGACTTCAGACTTCGGGCTTCAGCCTTCCTGGCCGCTTTGGCTTTGGCTTTTGCCTTTTGCTTCTGCTTTGCCGCTGCTTACAACAATTTGATGGCATATAATTATTAGTTCGTATAATTTATGACTTCATTTTGGCTCACAAAGTTGTGAACTGCCTTGTGTCTTGTGCATTTCAAGTTGAGTTCGCTGGCAAAAACAGGGTGAGCGCTCCCTGCTGATTTATAACTAATTTAGCTGACATTTTTATGAGCTATCGAGACTGCAGCTGCAAGTGATTTTAATCAGTTCGGGCAATATGCAAAAATGTGAAAAGAAATTGCTCTTTGCCAGTCAAAAGAAAATCGAATTTTGCTTCATCAAAAGAAGGAAGTATAAACATGGCAAAGTATGCAATGGGCGACCTAGAAAATGGTATGGTTCTTTCATAATTTGTATTCCTCAGTATAACTTGGTGATATTTTGACATTCATGATGTGGTTTATTTGCCAAAATTATACTTTTGGAAACAAGATGGAATCCCTACGGGATCAAGACAACTTTTTACACATTATAATAAACATAGTTAAGCTTTACATTTCAGTAGCACAAATAATTTTATCAAAGATAATTTTCTCGAAAAAAAATAAATTACTGGATATTAAGGTAGTTTAGTTTATGGCTTAGATGTGATTAATAAGCTATAAGCAATGTAATAAAAAGAGAAAAGAACGCATTAATAAAAGCTGGTAGTTTTGATAATTACATTTAAAATGTTTAATGTGAAAGTGGACAAAAGTCTAAGCCCAGTTAAAATCATATAATCGGCTATAACACTATTTAAATAAATTGTTGTTTCCTATCTATTATTACCCAAAATGAGATGTAATTAGAACTTAACTTATTAAGAAGTCTGGCGTCACTGTACCACAAGTCCTGTCGTTGACAAATTTTTGGATTGAAACCACCGTCGCCGCTGTTTCTGTTGCGGTTGCATTCGCAGGTGGCCCAAGGGCTCCTGTAGATAAGGATGTGGACGACGGAGGTCCTTGAGAGAGTGGTTTTGCGACTATGTGGGGCAATCAAACGCAAGACCGCCGCTAACCACTCATTAAGCGGAATCGGGAGTGCGCCCACTCGAGTTATGCACAAAGGCAATTGTAGAGTAGATTTTTCGGGACTCTGAACTTTGAACTGTCACTAAATGCGGCCTTCTCGTAGTTGTTGGCCACATTCTGTTGTAATTTTGTATTCGGTGCGTTCTCCCTTTCCCCGTTTTTTTTTTTTTTTTGCACGTTGAACTTTGAAGGCGTCGAAAAGGCCTAATTATCTTAATTAATGAGAGCCAAAGCGAATTTCGTGGAAGACAAATGTGCCGTGCTGTCGTGCGGTGGGTGGTTTTGGCCTGGTCTGGGTGGTTCGGACCAGTTTGGGTGGGTGCTTCTGGTGGTTTGTGTGGAGCTGGCGGCATTCACTCAGCGGTGCAAGGACGTTCTGTGGGTGCCATTTTAATTGTCTCTGCCCGCCAACCGCTCCGTCTGGCTGCCTGTCTGTTTTTGTATACATCAGTGTGTTGTGTGTGTATGTGTGTGTATATATGTGATTTTCATTAATTTTACTTCGTTTTTACCATTTGCAAGCGTCGGTGGCTGCGGCCGATTTTGGTTTATGGCCTCGCTACCCGCTCAGCGCTTTTCGCCCGCTTTTCGTCCGCTTTCCCACGCTTTTCCCCCGCCCGTTCACCCTAGCTTTCCCTGCCGTTTTTCCCCAGCTCGTTTGCGCTGGCAGTCTGTGTGCGGTTTTCGGGTTCGCCGCAAAACGACGCAGGAAAAAGGCTCTGGCAAATGCCCGCCAGGCAATAAGTGGAAAAGCGTGCTAGGCGCCAAGGAGAAAGACAGAGAAGGCGAGACAAAGGGAGAAAGTCGAGGGGATAGGGGGTTGGGGATGGGGGAAAAAGTGCGAAAGAAATGGTAGCTGGGAAAACAATAATAATGAGGCGCCATACAAACACACGGTGCAACACTTTGGCCAACAAATTGTTAAATGCCATTTGGGGCGGTGGGCGTAAGCCCAAGTGGAGGCCATGTGGATGCCATGTGTGGGTGAAAAAGGAGCACACAAATCTAGGCAGCCTTTGTGGCCATGGGGATGCTGATTTACAGCCCGTGTTACTTTGCTCAAAAACGCAAAGGAAGCGTGATTAATGAGGCTGGACCGCATGTGGACCCCATGTGGATGCTGGCCAGTTATTTTGTTTACTTTGATGGCCAGGAACTAAATGCAAATTCCCCCGGGTGGCACGTGCAGGTATTTAAGTGTGTGTGGATCCCAAGTTTGTTATTTATCAAAATTTCTGTAATATTCAGGCGGTTTTCAATTCCCCATTCCCTCCTTATGTTTCGCTTCCAAAGTGTTTCGGTTGGAGAACTGCGCAGGGTCCTTCCAGCTGCACAGCTTTCGCTCTCAGGGGAGAGTAGGAGATGGAAAGAGAGTGAAAGAGAGAGCTTTTACTGTGTGGATTGCATTGGAACTAGCACAGTCTACCCATTGTTCCTGGCCAACTCTTTTGTTGTTGGCCACATCCGCTTCTGGGAGCGTGAAGGCGCCTTCTTCGGTTCGTTTGAGTGACCTGCAATGGTCGCGTCAAGTGCCCGATTGACAACTGACAACGGAGCGGACTTCAAAACAGGGCTGGGCTGCCCTTTCCTTTCATTTTTTTATATCAACGCGCAACGAGAGAATTTTAGTTGTTCCCAAAGGACCAGTGCATAATATCACCATATGCATCTAAATAACATTTGGCTTGATTTTATATAATACATTATAGGTAGTTCATTCAACCCTCTTAAAGAGAGACTTCATGGATTGTGTTTGGTTTTTATAAGTAATAAAAATCTTGTTATCTTGAAAAACAAGTCCGGACAAGTTCCCTAGTTTACTGACTAAGTTTTAATTTTGTTTACGCTGTAACTATTTATGATATACCAATTGGAAATCCCCCTTATGAGGAAGCAAGATATTAGGTAGTAAAGTTCATCAATTCAGGCTGTTAGAATAATTGAGGAAAGCAGTAAGTAAATGTTAAAAAAAAACTTTACGAGCTGTTCAGAAACCCTGGATGAAACACTTTAATTTGTATTTTTGTGATTACTTTACTTCTAGTAGTGTTGTAATCAACATTTATTTCCTGAAAGTTGTTTTCATTATTATTATTAATTCATTATCATAATTAGTTAAAGTTTTATAGCAGTCAACCAGAAATCAAACACTGCATTTCTCCATTGCTTGCAATAACTCGACTATATTTCATTCATAAACAGAAAACCTACTACAAATCATAATAGAAAAACATTTTTTACATCTTGCACAGTTGCTTGAACTTCGTGAAATATTTATACAATTTTTCCCCGGCGCTTTATATTACGAGTTCGTTGGCGGTTCAGTTCATCATCGTTGTCAGCATTTTTTGGGTGGGTCGGCGGGTGGTTTTGCATTAGGCGGCGGTGGTCTGCTGTTGTTCCTGGGTGGTGCTGGTGGAGGCAACTGCCGATGACTCCGGCGCCTTCTCGTTGAGCGCCAGCCAGGGACATCGTTTCTGCAGCTCGATGCGGTATCTGGGATGACTTATGGCGTAAACGAACGGGTCGATGCAGGCTACCATTTTGCAGGTGCAGGCTGGGATCATGGTGGCACCCGGCGTCAATAGGGTCTTATCCCCGAAAGCGCCAATCAAGGACATCACTCCGTAGGGAGTCCAGGAGCAGAAGAACAGGAAGCAGATGGTTATGGCCGCCTTCGCAATCCGGATTTCTGCAGTTTCTTTGCTTTTGTCCACATTCGAGCGCAGCGACTCAACGTTCATCTTCTTGGCCTGATCCCTTAAAGCCTTTTCGTGACTGAAGACATGGCCCACAATCTGGGAGTAGTAATACGTGATCATCGTGGTGGGGCACACGAAGCTGAAGAAGAAGATGCAGCTCACGAAGAGGCGGGTATCGAAGTTATCGGTGAGATAATCGAAGGTGCAGGAGGTCAGATATCCTTCGGGAACAAATCGTCCCCAGGTTTCCGTGTAGCAGGCCACCACCCACGGAGTGGCATACATATAGATGAATATTATCATGGCGATGGCCTTGCCATGGGTCATCTTGCCTTCCATGGGTCGTGTGATCACATTAAAACGATCGTAGGCTATGAATGCATTAGTAGCACTCGCTGCAATTCCCGTGTAGGCACCGATCACCCCAAAGATCTGACATCCCAGGTGACCCAGTGCGTATCCCTGGTGGAAGCTATTGTAGATAAATATCGGTGTCTTGAGCATCATCATAAAGTCGCAGAAGGCCAGATTGATGACCAGTATATTGGAGGGGTGCGCAGCGATTTGGCCGCCGAGAAGACCCAGATCACCAGTCCATTGCCCACCATCGACATCAGGGTGAAGAATATGTAGAGCGTCCCCAACAGGTAGTTCATCGATTCGGGTGGCTCCGGATACGTTAGCCAGTGCTCGGGGATGTGACGCAGCTCCTCCGGCGGAACATTCCAGCCCAGCAGACGCGTTTCGGCGGAGAGTCGCGCCTCCGGCCGCAGCACGGTGGACACGTTGCCAAACAAACTCAGCGACACGTTAGCGGACTCCATGCTCCGGTCTTCGGGCCAAGACGAAATCACTGCCAGCACGGTCTGCGGTTTTTATACGCCCCATCGGAATTGGATTAGCAGTGCTGCAACGGGATTAACCACTGGTGATTGGGGGATTGGCCTAATCCGTTGACATTTTCGCTGGCACTGCATTTGCATTGATTCTCGATTAGGGTTTGCCGTTCAGCCGAAGGTCAGTGTTGAGACCGTTTTGTATCAATCAAACTGGATTACGCATTTACTTTGTACTGGATTATTTTACTGGGATATTCGCTTTTCTTCTGAATGCTAAATTATATTAAACAAAATTTTTTTTTTTTTTGTTTAACGCAACACCAAACATACTTTGTGCAATGCAATTTCCAAAAGAAACGACTGCGAATCCCAGAAGCGTACATAAATTAAAAACATAAAAACCATTCTTGTAGAAAGCTTTCTCTGTTTAAATCGGTCAGCTGTTTGCTTTAAACTTGAAGCCAAAATTGTTCACATATGGAACCGTTTTCAATCCCATGAGCGAGTGCAGCTCAGTCGAGCGTAAAAATAATTTCGCTGCCGCCGAGGTACATTTTCCAAATTGCTTGCCCCAAAAGTATACTTGAAAAAGTTTTGTGCTATCCTATCTGATCTGCACATATAGGTTTGAATATGCCTCCCCCATCCGACTGGGGGTATCCGGCGCCATAATCAGAGTGTAGCAATTGGGCTGGGGCCACGCCTACTTATTAACTCATAAAACAAAAAGTGTAGCATACTTTGGCGCGCGTCCCAAGACGACATACTCACACTCGCACACTCACACTCACACAGAGCGACGGCGATGTGTGTGAAATTATATGTGAGCGAGCAGCAACAATTTAGGTCATAAATCATATGGAAAAAGTACACAAAGGCATGCAAATATTCCCCAATTCCCCGCCAAGCCGGCAACCGCACATATACACTCACACACGCACACAAACACTCGGTGCACACATACCTACATATGAGGGTCTGTGTGAGAAATAGAGAGGTGGAAAGGGAAAAGGGATCATACGTGTGCATATGCTAAAAGTATGTACAAAGATTGATTTCCCTTTGTTTGCCTTTTAGTGTGTGAATGTGTTCTTCGCTTATTCACCTCGATTCCGCAGGCCTACGCGATGCCATGCCATAGCTCAGCCACCCTTACCCCAACCCTCGATCCCAAAGCCCCCCAATTTACCCCCAAAAACCCCATTCCCCAGATCCCCCATCGCGGGCACCTCCCCCTGGGCCACGTACATCAACTACATACATCGCCACGGGTGGTAATATTATATGCTGAATGAGTTGCCTGTTGAAATAATATGTTATATTCACTTGATTTCGATTTTTCGCCCTTTCCCTTTTAGCACCATTTTTTGCATTCCCTAGCAAAAAGGGGATAAGGCATCCCCTCGTTATTGGATATTACTGTATTCCCTTGTATCTTTTCTTGAAAACACATCTTTATCCTTTATCTGGCTTAAAAGAAATCTGAATACCATTCTGAAAGGTTTAGGGAAATACACAATTTATTAAGAACATATTTATCTATGGATATTTACATTGAGCAGAGTTCGCTTGGTTTGATTTTTATGGCAAAATAAATACAGTGAATGTTATCTATTATTGGTTCTTATTTCTTTTAACAAAAGACACGCGATTTTCATAATCTTTTATTATTCCAGAAAACCTCATCCCTACAAAAAACTAAAGGGTATCTCTCAGCCTTCTAATCGAACTTACCTTTTATTGTTTCCTTCCTTTTTTTTTTTGGTGGCAAGGTGAATGACTCTGTGGGGACTTCGGTAGCGAGTGCGATGTGGGGGGTAAGAATCTAGTGTGGATTTCCATGTAATTAAGGACAGCTGTCGGCGGCCCACAATTCCCCAGTGTCATTGGAGCAGCAAACTAAGAGAGAGGGGAGCCAAACAGAACTGAGCTCGCAGTGCCAGGTTGATTAGTGTGGAGCATAAATGGAACATGTGCTCCTAGCCGAGCTGAAGGTGGAGCTGCCACTTCCACTTTGTCGATTGTCGCCGGCACTGATTAAATGATTTCATTAAGTGATTGCTGCCAAAGCTGACGGCGTCAATTAATGACAAGCGGAAATAGAAGTTGATGTTGAAAAAGAGCGCCACCAAATGTAATTGCAAGCAGAACGGAAAGGGAGCTCTTATTATCTAAGCTGTAGTCACAGTCAACTTAAATCTTTATCCTTTATTTTAAAATATTTTATCTCGAGCAGTTAATCCTAAGCTCAGTAAAAAAGATTTAAAATCTAACTGCATTTTAAAAGGTTTTTAACGAATAAGAAAGAAAGAAGTTCAATTAAGGTTCTGGTTAGTCTAAATGCAATCCTGCATATCTGATTTCAATTGTCGGCTTAAACTGCTGCCAGCCATAAATTCCTGCCTTCCGAATGTGAACAAGATTTGAGGAATTTTTGCCATTTATAGTTGGCAATCCATTAATTGGTTTGAGACATGCAACGAAAAGGATATTTACATGAACATGGCCAGCGGGCAGCAGCTGCTGAGCAGACACAAACCAATTTGCAGTTAGTAATGAAAAATTTGCCAAATCTGAGTGAATTTTAATATTTATTTGCATTACCACCTGCAACAGCCATACCAGCCATAACAGCCATACCAGCCATACTTGCACGGACAATCTCGCATATTACTCATATTACTCATACGTGGCGTTGTACAAAGTCGAGTGTATTCGAGGGCATTTACTTGTGTTTGCGGCTGTCTGCAGTCCCTACTAAATGTGGCCCATATGTGGCTATGGAGCACCATCTCTTCTACGGCGATGCACGGTAATTGATTATCAAATTCAGCGTTGCATTTTGCCATGGCTCTGGGCCATAAACGTTTGGGGAGCATCGCAGCATTGGCCACAAAGTCCCCTTTAGCCCGGCAGTTCCTTCTGCTTCCCGCTCCTCGATTACTTTTCCACATTCACATTTTTTTCTCCTCGCTGGCATAAAAACTTTGCTCGCCCTTTTTTTTTGGCATGCCAAAAGTGGGCTTTTGGGAGGCGTGGCTCCATGTGTGTGTGTATCTGTGTGTGTGTGTGATGCTGGAGTAGCGAACATATTTTTAATGTGCAAAAATCTGTGAAATTTGTGCTATGACGCTTTGATTGCAGTTTGCTGAACATATTTTATTGTGCGTGTGTGGTTGGTGTGCCCTGCACCAAAGCGAAAGATTTGAATTCACTTCGGGAAAGCATATGCTCGCCAAAAAGGAAAGTTGTCAAGACGGTTTTCCGCATTAGCAAAAATACTAAGCGAATAGACGTCCTAATTTTTAGAAATAGTTTGTAAAGGTTTTATTACATGACTTAGATTCTAAACCGATATTGAAGAAAATTGTTGTATAGTTTTATAATGTACCATCTGATATCTGGATATTTTTAAAATTAACTTAACTTTGCATCAACATTGCTATAAATTATTTCAAGCCAACTGAAAGAGAAATATAAATCGCAGCTATAAATTATAATCATTTTCAAGAATGTTATCAAAATGAGTAACTCAATCATTTGAAACAGGTGTATTAGACATTTAAAATGAGGTTTATTTTCTATGTGGAAATCATGCTCAATTTACTGTTAATTATTTTGATGCCCCAGGCTTTGATGCAAATACTGTGTTGTCAGAATTTAAAACAAGTGCAATGGCAATTCGATTGGTTTAATATCTCGACCATTCAATCAATAATTATCCCGTCCATCCGTTGGTATTCATTTCGATCCCTCACACCCATTTTTTAATAATAGCTCCCCCGTTGGATCTTGATGGCAACTCCATAAAATAATGCCTCTCCTCGCCGCCGGCTAATACAAATATAAAGCCAATAAGGCAAAACGAAAAAATTCATGGAAACCCGTTATTGTTATCAATTCTAATTAATTAAAATGAAATTTGGCTGCGGCGCCAAATTGAACATTTTTGCAATCAATTGAAATTCAATTAAAATACGTTACCAGCTGGCTACAGCTTTTGTAGAAAGCCCACAAATACAAATGCGTAAGGTTAAGGGTTAAGTGAGCTATGGGGGTGAATCGAAAATGTGTGTGTGTGTTTGGAAGCCATTAGGCTGCACAACATCGGTTACATGACACAAAACGAAATCCATTTAGTTCAATTAAATTTATTCATCAATTAAAAATAAAAGCTAAGCAACGGCTATAGCAACGAAAAAGGGAATGGCATAAAAAGCGAATTTCGAATTGATTACATAAGGCGGAAACGGAAATGCGAGCACGCCATTTAGGCGAACCCCAGCCAAAACATTCCCCTCAATGGAAATTCCCTTCGTTCCGTCCGGAGCATAATAAACTTGGTTATGCCGCAAATTATTCAAGCGAAACGCTTGACTGAATCAGTTTTCCGAGCGAGCACTCGAGTCCTTGAGGCAACTCCAGCTCGTGACCTTGAGCACAACTGTACACGGCCACAAGGACACGCCCTGCGGCCATCAACTGCATGATTGTGTTCATCAATTAGTTATAAATCACACGCCTTTGGCCATGGCTCTCAACCCGGACAAGTGGCCCCATCAAAGGCGCTGTGGTGCGTTCAAATTGAAATCCGACCACAGTCCATTTCGCAGGTACAGTGAGCTGTGAAACTATTGGACTAACAAAATATTGTATTTAATATTGAGTATAAATAAAAGAGTTATTTGCTGATTATTTAAAAACATTATTACCACATTTTTTTACCTCTGTTGTTATTACTCTTCTTATAAAATGATTTTTATGTTATGTTATTTTAATAATGGCAAAAACAAAACAACTTTCCAAATTTTATATGCTTTTTTGAAGGCTTAATTTATTAACCATACTAGTATTAGTTTTGCCCAGCAGTGTAGGCCATAGAACTTAGAAGTTTCCTAACAAATTGCAATGTTTACAGACAATTGCGTGTGGGCTCATGCTGCGTATACGTCATTTTGCAAGATGACCTCGGCTTATCCGATTTTGGGAACTG